AATACCAAGGAACTAATACGTAAACAGATAGGCCAGAAACTGAAGCTTTAAGGCGTTGTTGACTCTCCAAACAAAATATGTTGTTTAAGCAAAGGAATGCCAGAAATGTTATTAACAACAATATTTGGAAATACACTTGATAAAGTACAAAGCAAATGTAAATCAAAATTAATATTGTCGAGGGTGCAAGACATAAGAAAACACTACGAGCTGAAAGCCCTTAAATTGCCGCGGGCGTAAGGCACAAAAAATAAATGCTAGCTTGAGTGAAGTGAAACGAAATACACACACATACATAAAGCTTCAGATATATATATATAATAAACTCTGAAATGGACTAAGTGCACCAGGCGTCTTGGGATCGAATGGACCAGGCCTGAAAGGATCTGAGACACTTTTGTTGAATAATGCTAAGGTGCAAGGCACAACCCAGACACATGCCTTGGCAACATTGATCAAAATACAACCCCTCACTCTCTTTTTGAAAATGCCATCACATTTATATGGGTTAAAATTGGGGTGCAAGTGCCAGGTTTGAGGTATCAAATAATAACTTTATGGAAATTCTAGTAGTATACATTATGAGCCAAGGCAATGTGAAGAGAACAAACTAAGCTGCAGAGCATGACTACAACATTAGGTTCACATGTGAAGAGAACAAATTCTAAACTGCTATTTTTCCAGGGATTTTTAAATTTGTTCCTGTGATCTCAATCAAGGAGCACTGACACAATTCAGTAAGACTAACAATCTCATTAGCATATAGTTTATTATAGAAATATAGAGTAAAATTGATGAGTGTTTAATATTACATACATTTGTTGTTGTTTACTCTTTTTTTTTTATTGATTGGATATTACTGATTTATTTATGTTTTGGCTTATTTTTGCATAAGAGCTTAATTTGATTTAATTGACTAGAACCAACGGTGAAAACGTAGAATCTGTATCTTTTTTGGAGCTTCTAGAAGACGTGGCAGTCTAGTCAGCAACTTCCAGAAGATGGTTCAATCAACATTTCTAGAAGACGGTCGAAATCATTTTTAAAGATCCAATTTCAAAATTACTTAGAATATAAATACTTAGAGATAATTGAAAGTTGTCTAGAAGATACATCAGCCAATAGTGTTCAAGTTTTAAATGTTTTTATTTTTATCTTTATGATAAACCCCTAAATTTAAATTTAGAGGTTTATTTTGGATATTTTTATATTTATCTTTATCTTTTAACTATTTTATTTTCTTAGAATTCTCGGATTATAAATACCCCTCAAGTTTAAGCTTTGAACACATATTGTATTTGGTTATTTTTCTTTTGTTTTAATAGAAGTTTTCTTTTCTTTCATTCTTTTACTTTTTCTTATTTAATTATTTTAACGAGGATTGACAATCGATTATTTCTTTAATAGCCATGACTCCTTCACTTTAAAAAGACGTCGTTGATTTGAAGGGTATTTTTGATTTACGATTAGGAAGACGGATTGATTGGTCATAATTTGGTTTCTCTTGAACAAACTTAACAGTGGTCCGATAAGAAGAATCAAGATTGAGTTCGATTCTCGGTGAGAGACTATAACTAGAGTCGGGTTGTTCTAAAACTTAAAATTGTTTGGGTTTAACGACGATAGATGTGGTTAGTGTCGTAACGACCTTTTTAGGGTCGCTGAGGAGTTTTGAAAAATGCTATAAAAAAGGGAGTTGCCACTAATCATTTTTAAAGTGGGATTGGACCACATAAAATCAGGAAATTTAAAAAAATAATTTTACTAAAATACCAATTTTGGTCTACAAAATAATAAAATGGGTTCAGGAGTCGATTACGTATGGGAAAGATTAGTACCCCACAAAACCCAAAATTAGTACCTAGTTGATTACCCATGAGTTCAAGAGTTGATTAATAATAATTATCCCTAGCACAATCGGAGGTTTACCATTAATCCCATTAAATAAATATTGTCTTAGTTTTAAAATCATGAAGCAAAAGTTTGAAAATGATGTCGATTTATTTCGGGAGATAATAATGGGCACCCCGAGCACAAGCGGATGATACAATATTAAAACCCTAATAAATGAATATTGCCTTTAATTTTTTTAAAACAAAGTATGCAATCAAACAACTAATTTTGAACCTAATTATACTAATGGGTTAATTATGGCTTTATCTAACTAAAGTGTCAAATTATGGATTTTAAAGGAATTAATAAAACTAATACTAAAATTAAGGCTTTAATATTAAACCTAAAGATTTTTAATATTTTTATTCAAATAATTAAACAAATTTAAAATTTACAAAAGATTGAACTTAAAAGTAAGGCTTCATCTAAGTCAAGAATAAATTAGTTAATTAAAGAACTCAAATCTAAAATTAAGGCTGTAAATGTTAATCCTAAATAAATTTTAATATTTTAATCAAATAATAAAACCAGAACCCCAAGCATAAGCAGAAACTATTTAAAAATATTCCTAATTATTCAAAGTGATTACCTAATAAAAGGAAACAACATTCATTTTTTCAACTTCACTCAAAACGGATCAAAACCAACTTTTTATATTTTCTCTCAAATGTTCTTCATTTGATGAAGAACATTCAAGCGGAAATCAAAGAAAACCCAAATTCCAGCCACGCTTCTCCTCGTCAACCGTTGTGGGTTGGCGCCGATCGCCGTTCATCGATGGTGAAATCGAACGTTGTTTTTATAGCATTTGAAAGCCCTTTTCCCCTCTTTTATAATCTCACAATTCTTTTAATCAGAAAGTCTAGATGAGAGCAAGATCTGAGAAAGATCTTTCGAAATCATCCTCTTTCGATCATCAGTTTCCTCCATCCGTAGTGGTTTTTGAGACAAAGAAAAACGCAAAGAAGGCAAACACTTCGACACGCAAACACAAGACTAAATCGAGAAAGGTAAAAAAATACCTATTTTATTGATTTTTTTCCATTTGAAATTACAAGTATTTTGCCTTTTCTCTTTTTAACATCACTTATTTTAATTTTTGCAGGGATTTATAAACTTAAAGATCCCGTTTTTGTTTAGAGTTTCACTTTAACTAAAACACTATTTTTTTGGTTTTCCTTGATTTTCTCATACTATCTTTCCCACTAAGAGATAACATCTTCAAAAATTCATCCACGAAAATCAGATTGTGCAGTTGATTAGCTAGCAACTGTGTGGACTAAATTTAGGTTTTTCTCAAAACCCTAAAAGATGAGCTGTTATGAGCCGTTGGATCTTATTTTGATCCAACGAAAGAGATGATGGTGTCTGAGGCAAAAGTAGAAAACCTAGCTTTGTTGGATCCACATATGGCCTTGTTCTCTATTAGGCTTCAACTAATAGGTTGCCGAGATTTGCATTTTGGATCTAGTCTTGAATTAATTACATTGGACCTATAAATAAATAATAATTATTAGATAATAATACTATATAATAAAACAAAATATTAATATATAAATATATGTATAATATATAATATACATAATAAGATAACTTCGGATGAAAAATATGTCTACAGCTGCCCTTCATTGTCTATTATCGTGAAACAAGAATGTGACAAAGACGAAAATGACAGAAGTTTCATTCGGAGTCTCAACCAAAGATGTTAAGCTTTAGAGCACTCCCTTGCAAAAATGATCTGCATTGACTTCTTTTGAAAGAATGAAAACGTTTTTCTCATTATGAACTTCTCATTGAGAATGTGATCCACCTCTTTCTGTGATGGATTTAAATATAAGGTTGAACAAGTTCTTCTCATTATGAACTTCTTCTTTCTCCGTAGATGAATCCCTCTTAGTATGAACTCCTCAATTGAAATGTTAGTCCACCTCCTTCTATAATGGATTTGAGCGAAAGGTCGATCAAGTGCTTCTCATTGTGAACTTCTTTTCTCTTTGTGGACGAGTTATTCTCATTATGAACTCCTCATTGAAATGTTAATCTATCTCCTTCTATGATGGATTTGAGCAAAATGTTGAACAAGTTCTTCTCATTATGAACTTATTCTCCCTCTGTGGATGAGTTCTTCTCATTATGAACTCTCCATTGGAAATGTTAATCCACATCCTTTTATGATGGATTTGAGCATAAGGTGAAACAAGTTCTTCTCATTATGAACTTCTTCTCCCTTATTGAATGAGTTTTTCTCATTATAAACTGTTTATTGAAATGTTAATCCGCCTCATTTTATGATGGATTTGAGCATAAGTTGAAACAAGTTCTTCTCATTATGAACTTTTTCGCCCCTATTGAATGAGTTCTTCTCATTGTGAACTCCTTGCTGAAATGTCGATCTATCTCCTTCTGTGATGGATTTGATTATTTAAAACATGGATTGAAATCTTCATTGAAATTTACTCATTCAACACTACATCAAAATGAGTATATAACGGCATTTTTAGTGGCGTTTTTAGAATAAACGCCGCTAAAGATTGTACATTAGCGGCATTTGTAAAAAAAATGCCACCAAAGAATGTACTTTAGTGGAGTTTGTATAAAAACGCCGCTAAAGACTATACTTTAGTGGCGTTTTTAGACAAACGCTACTATAGACGTTTTAGGCGCTAGACACAACGCCGCATAGACTCGTACTTTTGTGACGTTTTTTATACAAACGCGCTACAGACTCGTACTTAGTGGCTTTTATACAACGCCGCTAAAGACTCGTACTTTAATGGCGTTTGTGTTTATAAACGCCGCTAAAGACTTGTATTTTAGTGGCGTTTGTAATAGACTCGTCCTTTAGTGGCGTTTATATACAAACGCCGCTAAAGACTTGTACGTTAACGCTACAAATTTACAATTTTTAAATCCGACCCCTTTTAACCTTTTTCATTTCATATTTCACCTATTTTTTTCATTCCCACCAGAAGTTAAACATAAACCCCTAATCGAAACATTTCTCTCTAGAAATTTTCAATTTCTTTCTCTTTGTTTTAGTCATTAATAACAAGAAATTTCCCTCACCGTTAGTCTTAGAGCAAAGCTCTCATCCTCATCTGACAGCCATGGAGCCATTGAAAACCAAATCGGTAACCGTTCTAACACAAAAATGGTTCCCTGTTTCGATTAATTCACAAAGCAAGGAAGCCCCCGTTTCAATCACAAAAAGGTAAGCACACTTTTTATCTTATTCTTGGATCAACACAATCAATTTGCTTCATAATCCCATTTGCTTCATAATCCCAATTGCTTCATAAAATTAATTAAATCCCGTATTTACAATCCCATTTCTCTTGGTATTGAAATTCAATTTGCTTCATAATCCCAATTGCTCTCAATCTGAAATTCCAGTTCTTAACAAACCTAAGTACTTCAGTTTCCGCCTTAGGTTTACATTCGGCTATAGCTTCATGTTGATCCCAAATTCCAATTTTTAAATACCATACTGAAATAATTCTTCCAAACCATTATTTCACGAATTTTTTTTCCCAAACCATATCTAAAATAATTTGCCACACAAAGGTAAGTTCTCATCAATTAATTGCAGTTTTATTCATTTAATCTGAACACACACTCACAGAGGTAAGTTCCCACCAATTAATTGCAGTTTTATTCATTTAATCCGATTTTACGGTATCCAGTTCTACTCGATTCGTTCGTCCTACTGATTTTACATTTATCTTTTTCGATATATTTAAAAAAATTTCATTTATTTGTTTTTGGTCGATTCTTAATATAAGAAGTATTTTATTATTTAAGTTTCTTTGTTAGAAATGTTGCCTGGTTCTGGGATTCGGTTTAGCCAATGAGAAATTAAAGGAAGATGAATAAAAAGGAACTTTAACTTTAAATTTTAACTATAATCTGAACCATTTCTAACCATTCAAGATCAATGATCTGTCACTTAGCTTTTTTAATTTAGTTAGGCGAGGCAGAATTTAACTATATATTTGAACACAACTTTGGTTTTGTGATTTTACAATGACGTGATTAATATATATTGGTAGATTGTACGAAGATTAACGATGTGTTTTAAATAATCAAAAAAGTGGTGGAGAGAATGAAGCCTGACATGTCTAACTAATTTTCAAGTTTCTAGATAATTTTCTGGAGTGGTTGAGACTGGAAATCTCGTCTTTTGTTTTAATCATATTTTGTTTACTTATTTATTTTATTTTCTCCCAATAATTAAATCTCTTTCTCCTTCTGGTGTAGATGGGTATGGCAGAAAACAATAATATGATGGAGGATGGAACACTAGAAATTTGCATGGGTAAACTTTATTGTTTTATATCAGCTGCACGATCATTATAAGCAACTCGATTTGCTTATGTTAAAATTAATGTTTCCTATATGATTTGAATGTTCCGTTTAATAACGAGAGAGAAATTATTGATAACACTTTGGTTAAACTGCCACCTGTGTTTCAATAAGAAGGGATCTGTTGCATGAAAGAAGTGTTATCACTAATAACCATCTTTATTTTCTTGAGTTAATTGTAGAACATATAACTATTTCGGAGTTGATGGGCCATTGGTAATCCTTGATAAAGTGAAGGCAAGTTCTGTTTCTCTCACTCATTATCTAGTAACCTATGTTTTGAATCTTCACTTCGTGAAGTATCGGGTTTGATACCTGTATCCAAAGCATATCTAGACATAGGAATATTGATATGACCCTTTCAGAACCCTTAAAGTACATGGGAAATTTAGAAAAATAAACATACTCATGTCGAATACATACTTGTATCAGACACTTACATCCGAGTCCAAGAAACATAGCTGGTACTGTTGTCAATCTTTTATAGTTTTGATTTCAACTTTTCTTGATTTGGGGGTTCATGCTTTTTACAGGGCCCTAAGTTTCAAGAAATAATTAATATTCGTTTAGGGGATGAAACAACTAGACGTGGTCAAATCCTAGAAGTTGATGGGGAAAAGGTTGTTGTTTAGGTAATTTCCTTCTTAGTTTCTTTAGCATTCTAACTATGAATTCCTGTTATATGTTCATGCCAAAAGGAATAATGTCAACTTCTTCACCCATGAAATATTTGAGGCTTATATTATGGTGCAAGGTTTGATGCAGTGATTTCATTAATAGAGGATTTGTTTCTTCATAGTATACTCTACTTATGGGGCACTTTGGTTAGGTATTTGAAGGAACTTATGGAATCGACAACAAGTATACAATTGTGCAATTTACAGGAGAGATATGTAACCTCCTGTTTTTCCTATAACTAAGACAATCCTTATCTTGCATCAGTGGCATGCAAAATAGCTTAAACATTACAACAGATGCTGATACATTTTAGATGTTGACTTGTTTTTTAAATCTTGAGTTATCTGGTTCTGTAATAAATTATAGGGGAAACGAATCTTGTTCTTATTAGTCCATGGGCACACATTACTTTGTGCAGTAAACTAAGGTTTTAAATAGGCATGATTGCGGTTGATTTGGTTGTTATTATCTTAGAAGATTTGGCAACAGCTTCAGCACTACTCTCAGTTCCCAGACTTCAACAACTATCTCGTTTTCATCCTAGCACGAGCCGAGGTTTTCTATCTCCGTTTATCTCTGTTTGCTATCTCCGTTTACCTTTTCCATGAGTCCTTGTTTAAACTGGTATCACATGGTTGATCAGGTTTTTTCTGCTTTATAAAATATACCTGAGCTTGTTTTGTCACTTACATTATTCCAGGCAGTGGCTAATTCTACATCAGCGACTTTCTTACGTGTTGTTGGAAGTGAATTAATTCAGAAGTACTTGGGAGATGGCCCAAAATTAGTTAGGGAACTCTTCAGAGTTGTTGATGATATTTCCCCTTCAATTGTCTTCATTGATGAAATTGATGCAGTTTGTACTAAGAGGTAAGTTAGTGAAACTATCAGGCCTTGGTAGAAATACATTTCAAATATTTCTCATTAATATTGCACCATGTACAAGTTACTGATTTTGTGAATGTTATTTAAATTTGTGGTTGTAACGTTTGGAATTGCTTCTGTTAAAGAAGATTGGATTTTTTTGTGCTTCTAAGAAAATATTTTGCTTGTGGGTTGAATATTTGCTTCTTCAATTTTTTCTGGAATCTTGTTAATTTTTCTCTTTGTGAATGTTGTTCCATTTTTCTGATTATTGCTTCCTTCTCCTATATTTGGTTTTCAAGTGTTGCAATGTATTTGATGTATTTTGGAAGGTGCTACTGTAATGTATTTATTTAAAATAGCTTACCATTTACCATCAACGAGAATCTGAATAAGTGGAAGTTGCATCAAAAAAAATATTAATGGTTCTTTTTTTTCCTATAATGAGCTTTTTTGCGGCGTTTGTATCAAAAAACGCCGCTATAGATATGAGCTTTTGCGGCGTTTGTATCCAAAAACGCCGCTATAGATATGACCATTTGCGGTGTTTATTCCAAAAACGCCGCTATAGATCTGACCTTTTGCGGCGTTTGTTCCAAAAACGCCACTATAGATCTGACCTGTTGCGGCGTTTGTTCCAAAAACACCGCTAAATATCAACACCTATTGCGGTGTTTGTTGGTCAAACGCCGCTAAATATCAACACCTATTGCGGCGTTTGTCCAACAAATGCCGCTATATATCGTTACCTATTGCGGCGTTTTTTGTTACCAAACGCCGCGAACTTTAGCGACGCTATTTTCAGCGGCTCTTTTGCGGCGTTTGTCATAGCGCCGCAGGTGTTTTTTACGGCGCTTAAAAACGCCGCTATAGATAAAAAAAACGCCGCAAATGTACAGTTTTACTGTAGTGCAAACACATTGTTGTAAACTATAATCTTTGTTTTTCCGTTTGAATACCTGTCAAAAGCATGTCAAAAGTGCACAAGATGCTTTGATGTAAATGACTGGATGAATATGTCCCTATTCATGAATTTCAAATTATGCATGTGTAATTTCATATCAATTTTACATGCTCCAACGTCTTGTAGATCTTTTTTGGGTTTTATATTGGAATTCCTCCAATAGCCCATCTCACACTCAGGTTTTCACTTTATACTCTTTTTCTAAAAGCACCATTTCGGGTTTTCCCTTTGGTTTTTCTTTATTTCCATTTTATATTCTTTCCTTTTTCTTCCTTTTTTTTATTTTTCAATTTTCACCCCAAGATAACATCCTTGTGAAACTGGTCCAAAATTGAAATTCATGCTTGTTGACTATGCAGCTTTTAAACGATACTATACTCACTATGCTTCAAAAACTTCAAGTACTTCGGTTACAGGTTCATTGATCTTTGGATGATGTTCTTCTTCAAATATTTTCTATGGTGATACCACTATTCTTCCTCTTACTTTTATTTTCTCAGCCTCGTTAGATGTTTCATAAGAATAACATCTTATACTTTTTGTGAAATGGTCAACTTCTCTCACTACTTCAATTGCAGGCTTCTCTTCATCCGACTTTATTTTCTCCCTTAGTTCTTCGGATGACTTTGATCCTCCAACTAGAGAAATTTTTGCATTATAATTCCACATAACCTTTTGAGTATCCTTGAATGGAAATAGCGAAGGAGCAATAATCACAAATTTAAGAGCCGCTGACGCTGAAGTTATCACGTTTGGTTTTACCGTGATTATCACAAGTTTATTTACTCCATACACAACCTTGGAGCTTTCGGATGTAGAAACATCAACTTCTTTCATCCCTTCATCATTCTCGAAGAACTCTATTTCCTTATTGCTCATCATGGCTTGAATCAAATTTCTAAACAGGGGAAAAACTGAATCTCATGACCCTCCTCTTGATGGAACTCAAAATAGGTTCCATGTCCAATATGCTCAGGTTTTGAACATTGCTTAAATAACCCTACTTAATAGAGTTGCCTAAATACCCAACTTACATGAGACTTGATTTATGAAACATCCACCTTCACCTTTCTACCACCTCCTTCGTGAATTACATTTACTCCATGATTCGGTAACGGATTAGCTGCCACATTTGGTGAATTAAACTCTAACATATTGGTGTTTATCAAATTATGGAGAATCTTCTTAAAGGTAATACAATTTTCAATGGAATATCCTGTGACCTCTGCATGGTACTCGCATTTTACTTTTGGATCATACCAACGATTCAAGTGGAGTAAGATGATATGGATGAACCACATCCACTTTAAAAAATGAGGCATGCACTTCAACATATGGCACTGGTAAATGTGCGAATGCCATCTTTCCAGTCTCCCTCCTCGGGCCTCTAAAGTCATTTCCGCTGGAACTTTTGAACATCGCTAGCTTTTGTTACGTGATTGCGATACTCTTTGAGACTTCTGGATTATAGGTTTTTATGTTGTTTTCTTCATCTTCCCTCTTCTTGAACACCTTTTTTCTCCGCCATTTATTCTCTTACTTTTTATCGCAGTTTCAATCAGTTCACCAAAGATCACCACGTTAGCAAAACTTTTCGTTACACTTCCCAATATTCGATCTAAAAAGGTCCTTTAAGAGTCTGAATAAAGAGAATCGTCGTCTCTTTCTTTAATAGAGGCAGTTGCACTTGGGCGGCTACATCACGTCATCTTTGAGCATACTGATGAAAACTCTCATTAGGTTTCTTCTCCATATTTTATAGAGCTATAGAGAGGTCTTTCCAATATTTGATGTTAATTCGACTCAATTGAGTATACCACTTAGTAGCTGAGCCAGTTAAGCTATCTTGAAAACAATGAATGAGTAGCTTCTCATATTTCAAGAAAGTTGACATTTTTTATAGTACATGGTAATGTGAGAAGATGGGTAACTAGTTTGTCATGCTTTTCAAACTCCGGGGTCCTGAATTTTGGAGGCAGAACGAGATCAGAAACTAAACTCAACTCTTTAGCGTCCATCCTATACTAATCTGCTACTTCCATGGCCTTTACCTTATCCTCAAGCATCTTATAGCAGTCTTCATATTGTTTAGCCATTTCAGCTCTAGCTTTCTTGAATTCATTCAGTGCATTGAAGTCTGGTACATTCTCATCATAATGATGTGTAGAATTTCCTCCCAAATCTACTTGATTGATTGCAGATAATCCAGTAAAGTCGAAGTGAACTTTCTGTCCAGATATTACTATTTTGGGTCGAACCTTCATATGAGATGAAGTAATCCTTTATCTTCATCATTAGACGTCCCTTCTTGTGTATTCTCATTTCCATTATCGTGAAAACCTAACAAAGCAGAAATTTGACTCACTATCTCCCGTTGAGATTGAGTGATTTGGTCTTTCATGCTCTGCTCTATGTCACCAAACCGAGTTTCAAGGTCATTTTGTGTCTTCTCGAGATTAGTCAACCTTTCGTCCATATTTTGAGATTTTCTTCAGGTATAATAATGGTGCGGGATATCGTGACTAGAAGATTTTTCTGAAAACAATTTTTATGAATTAATAACTATTAAAGATAGAAGATAAAATGAATGCAATGCAATGCAATGCAATGCAATGCAATGCAATGCAATGCATGTATACAATAAAGATATTGATTCCAAAATAAACATCATAAAATAACTTTTAAAGAACACAAAATGTCTCAATATGTCAAGATTGACAGAAACAACACATAGGCCCTAGCCCTATCTCCTAATTTCCACGAGTAGTTGGATGATACATAATTCTTCATCTGATTTTGGCCTAACATACATCATCAACGCTTCAGCTTCCCTACCCAGATGATATACATGCCGAGCTACTGTGTTACCCTGAGCAACAGCATCAGTCATTGCTTCATGTTGACTTCGAATCAAGTCCCCCGCTTGTTAAAGTCTCTTTGTCAAAGTGTCATTAGTTGTATTCAAAGCAGCCTCAAGTCGTGCCTTGCAGTCCCGAAGGTTGGCTCCTAATTCAATCATATTTGCTTGTAAAGCCTCATTCTCATCTTGAACTACCTTCATCACTTCTTGACAAACCCGATTTGCTTTCACCATTTTAGTTATATTCTCTTTCAACAATAGATTATTTTCTCTAAAGCTCGCACCATCTTGAAAGGCTTCCTCTAAGCACATGATATGAGCCTCTACCTCCTCAATATGGGCTTTCCTCTAGCCTAACTCTTGCTTAGTTTCATCGTGTTGATCTGTCACTTTTTTAAGCTGGGCTCTCGCTAGTCTCTTTTCATCCTCAATCTACTTCTTTGCTTACTTCTTAGATTTATCCTTCCATTATTCGAGTTCTTCTTCAACCTTTCTCTTCCCTTTCTTGAATTGTTCGACCATTCCCTTCTGCTTGATTAACTCAAGGTCTAGCATGAACTTCTCATCATCAAACTTGGATTGGTCAGTCTCTCATTTCTTTCTTTGTTTCTCCATTTCTTCTCTCAAAAGATCAGCCTCAGACGTAATTTCCTTCAGACGATCTTTCATGGTCAAATCGTCTTCTTGGTTTAACTTCGGAGCACTATCATTTACTCGTCTACTTCTCCAATCTTCATAACTCTGAGTCATTGAAGGCTGGATTTCTAAAATTATTAATTTTATCAGTTTTTTCCAAGCATTTAGTATATGCAAAATATGAACTCTGTAACCTGCTTCTGCAAAAGTGAAATCTGACTCATTCAAACCGTGTGTCACTGGAACAAATTGCCTTGTACTAAAGTGCCTCAAAACTAGAAGTGGGGCATATCCAGTTGCCCCCCCAAAGACCATGTAACATCATCCAATCTGAGTTTCCATATTTGTATAGAATATCCGTCCCGAGATAGCCAGTGAACCTTCCAGTCGATGTCAGTAGCTTTAAAATTTTTGAAAACATCTTCTTAAACCTTCCTTATATAGTGTTTAAGATTCTTTCTTTCAGTGAGAATATTTCAAATAAGGGAAACCGACTTTGAATTTTTCCATGCAAGGCCCTTTTACTTTCCAAAAGTGACTTTGGATCCATACCATGAGCAATGGTGCACATCCCGAAAATCGACTCCCATTGATTGTTGATAATAACTCAAGGAACTATATGTCTCTGCCAAAATTGCTGGTGCAAGATTCGTGCCTTTCCCTAGGTTCTCATAAAACTCTATCACTACTTGATCAATGTAACCTTATACTCTCAGAAATATACACTAAACTCCCATTGATTATTGATAATAACTCAAGGAACGATATGTCTCTTCCAAAATTGCTGGTGCAGGATTCGTGCCTTTCCCTAGGTTCTCAAAAAACTCTATCACTAATGGATCAATGTAACTTTATACTCTCAGAACTATACCCAAACCATAAATGGCTAACGCAAACAAATCCATCATTCTTTTCGATGTCGATTGACTATGAATCACACTCCTCATGCTAAGCCAAGCAATACCTTCACAACCAGTTTTGTTTTGCATATGTTTAGCCACTCATTGTTCCTCTTTCCCTGTAAGTAGCATGATCTTTTTAGCAAAACTCTTGGTTCTAGTACATTTCGTATAAATCCTGTCATTTTGAACATTAGGTTTGTTAAAAAAATAGTGTCTTCTTCAATAGTGGGAGTCATATCTTCTTTGTTGAAAAGTGAAATACCAATAAGATGATTCCATAATTGTACCAAAGCTCAAAACATAGTTGAATCAGTTATTACGTTCATCAGGTCAGTGATATCACCACAAGTAGATCGAAATAACTTCTGCTCATCCTTATCCCAGCTTTTCCAAATTCCTTTTAACTATTGAACTCTATTCTGTTGGAGACTAACTGTTATGTTTTCTGGTAATCTCAATTCTTTATTGACAATCAAACTATCCCATTTTTGTTGTTGTGTCCACTCGGAACAACGCTGAACCTTTATGAGCCCATCTACCTCTTCTTGTGACATCATCATATTGGAATCCTTCTAAAGCGACAAATTTACCAGGAATCAATATATCCTATGATATGTCATGTTATACAAGAAAATGAAGCAAAACAAACAAGAAAACAAAGGAAATAAGTTAGTAAGATAAAAAATAATAGTCAAACAAAGCGTGCAAAAATTAACAAAGTAATAAATAAACTTCATAAAGAGAATAATATAACACAAGAAGGATAAACATCATACCTAACCACATACATTCTAGTTCTCTTAACGATTTCGTATGGCTCTAGTGGGTAGGTTACTAAATTCACTATATGATAGTTTGGTTCTAAAAAAAGGTTCTTGAACTGTCCTTACAACATGATAAGGTAAATAAAGACTTCGATTCTAGTCCATTATAGACTTTACGAATCGAATTATGTCCAAGGGATCAAA